CCTTTATACAAAGGAACTAATGCATGCTCTCTGCCAATCCCTAGGTACCTTACCCTCTTCCATACATTTATTAAATAATTGCACCAACCACTCCAAAACTATATCCCCACCTGCTTTTAACATTTCTATCTTTATCCCATCAATCCCGGCTGCCTTACCCTCTTTCATTTTACCTACTGCCTCACGAACTTCCCCCACACTCACAACTGGCTCTTCCTCACTCCTACAAGATGTTATTCCTCCTTGCCCTATACACGAAATCACAGCTTCCCTATCTTCATCAACATTTAACAATTCCTCAAAATATTCCCTCCATCTTCCCAATACCTCTAACTCTCCATTTATTAACTCTCCTCTCCTATTTTTAACTGACAAATCCATTTGTTCTCTAGGTTTCCTCAACTTGTTAAACTCACTCCAAAACTTTTTCTTATTTTCAACAAAATTTGTTGATAACATCTCGCCCACTTATTCCCCAATATTTTTTACAATCTCTTCTGTCCTCCTTCCCATTATATGAAGGACCTATGCACACTCTGCCAATCCCTGGGTACCTTCCTCTCTTTCATACATTTATTAAACAAAAACACCAATTGTTCTAATACACTATCCCCCCCCCCTTGCTTTTAACATTTCTGTCATGATCCCGTCAGCTCTAGCTGCTTTACCCCCTTTCATTCTATATAATGCCTCACGCACCTCCGCCACGCTCACATCCTGCTCTTCTTCACTCCTGAATGATGTTATACCTCCCCGGTCAGTGCATGAAATTACTGCCTCCCTTTCTTCATCAACAATTAAAAGTTTCTCAAAATATTCCCGCCATCTACCCAATACCTCCAGTTTCCCATCAACTAACTCCCTAACTCTGTTTTTAACTAACAAATCCATATGTTCCCTAGCCATTCTTAACTTGTTGATCTCTAAATTTTTTTCTCATTTTCAGCAAATTTTTTTGACAGTGCCTCTACCACTCTATCCTTTGCTCTCCTTTTGCACTCTCTCATCACTGTCTTCACCTATCTTTTACCCTCCCTACACTCTGCCCTTCTCTTATCACTTCTGCTTTGCAAAAACCTCTAATAAGAAACGTTTTTCTCTTTTATCACACAATTTACTTCATCATTCCACCACTCACTCCTCTTTCGTCCTGTACCCACCCTCCTATAGCCACAAACTTCTGCCCCACATTCTAATACTTCATTTTTAAAACTATTCCAACCCTCTTCAACCCCCACACTACCCATATTTGCACTAGCCCACCTTTCTGCCAATAATTGGTTTTATCTCATTGTAACTTCCTCCTTCCTTAGTTTATACAATTTCACCTCTTACTTGCTGTTGCCATATTTCTTTTGTCCCATCTACCTCTTACTCTAACTATAGCTAAAACTAAATAATGATCTGATATATCAGTTGCCCCTCCATGAACATGTACATTCTGAAGCCTGCCCATCAACCTTTCATCCACCAATACATAATCTAACAAACTACTTTTATTTCGTGCTATATCATACCTTGTATACTTATCCACTTTTTCATAAAATATGTATTACTTATTAAAAAACCTCTTTCTACACATAGTTCAATTAAAGGCTCCCATTTTCATTTCTCCCTGGCACCCAAAATTTACCTACAATTCCCACCACAACATTGTTACCCACCTTAGCATTGAAATCCCCAACCACAAGTACTCTCACACTTGGTTCAAAACTCCCCACGCATTCACTCAACATTTCCCAAAATCACTTTTTTTTTTTCTTTTTCAACAAGTTGGCCGTCTCCCACCGAGGCAGGGTGACCCAAAAAAGAAAGAAAATCCCCAAAAAGAAAATACTTTCATCATCATTCAACACTTTCACCACAATCGCACATTATCACTGTTTTTGCATATACTGCGGTGAGATGAGTTGAAGCAGGAGGAGGCGGGATCTTAGTGGGACCTGCCACTAATGTAAGTAGGTCATCGTCCAAAGGTTTGGGCAAGCGTTGAAGTCTTTGTACCAAGATTCCATGATGTTGCAGTGTCTGACAGATGTGATGAATGGTTTTGAAAACCGACAAGTTGAAGAATTGAGACACTTATGCAACACATGGGAATCTTTATTGAAGAAACGTTTCGCCACACAGTGGCTTCATCAGTCCAATACAAAGTAGAAATGGGTAAGGAGAGTAGAAGTATGAGGTAATCAGTCCCTCAACCTGGATTCGATGTGTTCAGTCCATCACTCTTGTAGTAAGTGCAGCATAGGGCCAGAGAGGTGGCTTATATACTGCGGTGAGATGAGTTGAAGCAGGAGGAGGCGGGATCTTAGTGGGACCTGCCACTAATGTAAGTAGATCATCGTCCAAAGGTTTGGGCAAGCGTTGGAGTCTTTGTACCAAGATTTCATGATGTTGCAGTGTCTGACAGATGTGATGAATGGTTTTGAAAACCGACAAAGACTTCAACGCTTGCCCAAACCTTTGGACGATGACCTACTTACATTAGTGGCAGGTCCCACTAAGATCCCGCCTCCTCCTGCTTCAACTCATCTCACCGCAGTATATAAGCCACCTCTCTGGCTCTATGCTGCACTTACTACAAGAGTGATGGACTGAACACATCGAATCCAGGTTGAGGGACTGATTACCTCATACTTCTACTCTCCTTACCCATTTCTACTTTGTATTGGACTGATGAAGCCACTGTGTGGCGAAACGTTTCTTCAATAAAGATTCCCATGTGTTGCATAAGTGTCTCAATTCTTCAACTTGTCGGTTTTCAAAACCATTCATCACATCTGTCAGACACTGCAACATCATGGAATCTTGGTACAAAGACTTCAACGCTTGCCCAACCTTTGGACGATGACCTACTTACATTAGTGGCAGGTCCCACTAAGATCCCGCCTCCTCCTGCTTCAACTCATCTCACCGCAGTATATAAGCCACCTCTCTGGCCCTATGCTGCACTTACTACAAGAGTGATGGACTGAACACATCGAATCCAGGTTGAGGGACTGATTACCTCATACTTCTACTCTCCTTACCCATTTCTACTTTGTATTGGACTGATGAAGCCACTGTGTGGCGAAACGTTTCTTCAATAAAGATTCCCATGTGTTGCATAAGTGTCTCAATTCTTCAACTTGTCGGTTTTCAAAACCATTCATCACATCTGTCAGACACTGCAACATCATGGAATCTTGGTACAAAGACTTCAACGCTTGCCCAAACCTTTGGACGATGACCTACTTACATTAGTGGCAGGTCCCACTAAGATCCCGCCTCCTCCTGCTTCAACTCATCTCACCGCAGTATATAAGCCACCTCTCTGGCCCTATGCTGCACTTACTACAAGAGTGATGGACTGAACACATCGAATCCAGGTTGAGGGACTGATTACCTCATACTTCTACTCTCCTTACCCATTTCTACTTTGTATTGGACTGATGAAGCCACTGTGTGGCGAAACGTTTCTTCAATAAAGATTCCCATGTGTTGCATAAGTGTCTCAATTCTTCCACTACTTTTCTTATCATGCTTCCTCTGTCAAGAGAAGTGATCTTATCTCCCTCTTTCTCCGTGCTCTCCACATATGTGATCCTCACTTCCTTCAATCTGAAGTTCCCACTCTTCATAATTCATTTTTCCGTCTTGGCTACCCTTCCCATTTCACTGACTCTGCCTTCTCACATGCTAAACATAGTTTCTTCTCTCCTAAACTCTCTACTCCTGGGAACTCTTCTGTCCTCTGCCTTCCCTACATTTCCGGTCTTTCTAATCTCAACAACTCTCTCCGTTCCTTAGACATCAAACTTACTTTCTGCCAGACTAACACTTTTCGCACTAATCTCGTTCATACCTCTCCTCCCTCTACAGATGCTCCTGGTGTCTACTGTATTTCTTGTTCCTCCTGTCCTCTTCAATACTTTGGAGAAACTGGCCGATCTCTTTCTGACAGACTTAGGGAGCACAAAAATAGTGTTAGGCTTGCTGACACTAACAATGCTCTTTTCTGTGACGTCAAAGATCAGTCATTCTACCGACTGGTCTTCTGCTATAACTGTCTTCCCTACTCCCAACTTTAACAGTCACTGTCTGGTTGAATCCTCCCTAATACAATTTTCCTTGTATGAATCTTAGTCCTGGCTTCGTCTCTGTAGATGCCTTCCTCTCCCACTACATTGTAAAATGCTCCGAACCTCAAAACACTCGTAACCTAACCTGATTCCTCCTTTTTCTTCTTCACCCTCTTCCCCTTTTCCTCTTTCATTTTTCTCCTTTGGGTTGTCTTTCTTCTGCCCTGTGTATTTGTTCCTTTTATTTATTTATTTGTTTTCCCCCCCTTGGTGTTCTTGCTCTTACCCTCTGCGGGCACCTAGCTCCCTTGCAGTGCTCCTCTTTGTTAGTATTTGACTGGCCCCCCTACTCTTACCATCTCCCCACTACTACTTCCTTCCACCTCCACTACTACCACCACCACCTCCTGCCTATATATACCCATCCTGCTCTCCTTTTTGTTAGTGTGACTTTGTAAATGGTCCAAGTCGGACCGAAACATCGTCGTAAGCTCCTCTCTTCTATGTGCGGGTTATCTGTGTATTGTTCCAGTCACAGTATTGTGCCTTTTTGTTATCCAAAAATGTTTCAACAACAGCTATCATGTCTGGACGTCGAGTGTTCACAAAACTGTGTGAGCTCTCCATCATTGGTATGAAACCTTTAATGTTGGCCTACAGGATGCTGTCTCTACCATTACAGATTAAAAAAAATGCCAACACAGAAGGGTTTTCATTTTTTTTTTTTTAGGGGGGGGGGGGGGGGTAACAAATTAAAGGTTAATGTTTGAGGAAGCTTCTCTACAATACCATCTTATTAAGGAAGGGGTTATTAGCACATACCCCAAGGCACTAAAGGCAGAGACAGAAAATGAACTTTTCTTGCTCTCATATAATATGTTCAGAAGAATAAGCCTAAGTTATACTTGATGGCCATGACATGATAGGACAACTTACTGGTATTTGTGCATCACTTCGGGTTTGTCTCTCGCTTCATTACCCTGTCCTCCGACAGCTATTTCAAACACCTCTCCACCCACCGCTCCCCCCACAACGGGGGCCCCTCTCACCCTCGGTTCCTTCCAGGGGTCAAACCCCCGGCCTCGGTTTCCCTTTTAAACGCTTTTGTGATTCCGCATTCTTTTTTCATCCTAAAATATTCATTAATTTCTTTTAAAATTTGCGAAACAATTCATGAATGGTACAATTAATAATGATAAAAATGGAATGTTGACAAAGACTATGCCCACGAAAAAATACGCATCTGGCAAAATAAGAAAATAAGAAATAAAAACGAAGGAACATTTGCAGAAGGCCTACGGGGCCCATGCGAGGCGGTCCAAGTCTCCTACCGGCTTAAGCCAAATGCCCCCAAACCCTAGTCAGGTCGGGTCACATTATTAAGGGAGGAATGGAAAACCGCCCTGGTGCAAAGCTATCAGGTCCAACTCACCCCACCCCCATCCACTAGAAAAATAACAAAAAGGCACAAAAACGTGACTGGAACCCAATACAAAATAACCGCACATAAAAGAGAGAAGCTTCGACGATGTTTCGGGCCGACTTGGACCCTTGCAAAGTACACTAAAAGAGGTGGAGCAGGACGGCTATATTTCAGGGAGGAGGGGTGTTTTGTGTGCTTTTTCAATGGTCCAAGTGGACCGAAAGTCGTGTAAGCTTTTTCTTTTATGGCGGGTTATTTGTTGTGTTTTACTCATGTATTTTTCCCCCTATTTTTAAAGTACACAACGTTCTGGCCTTATAACTGTCTGGGAGTTTGTTCCACCTCCACAATCTTTACCAAACGTCTTTCTATATCCTTCCAAAAAATTTTCCCAAATTAAAACCATGCTGCGAGTCCTGTCTAGGCTAGTATTTTCAGCACACTATTTAATCCCCTTTTTTATTTTGTCTTCCATTTTTACACCTCAATTATCCCCCCTAATTCTACGTCTTTCTGAGAGTGCGTTCAGGGCCCTTTGTTATCCTCATAGGGAAAGGTTTTTGAAATGGGGCAACTTGCATCTCTTTGTACATTTTCCAGAGAATTTATATCCATTCTGTATACGGTGACCAAACTGTGCAGCATAATCTAAATGAGGCCTAAACCAGGATGTATAGAGTTGAAGAACACAACCTGAGGACTCCTATTATTTATGCTTCTTGATATGAAGCCAAGGATTCTATTAGCTTTATTGCGAACACTTATGCACTGTTGTCTTGGTTTCAGATTACTGCTAACCAGAACTCCTAAATCTTTTTCGCAATCCGTAATATTAAGATCTACATTATTTAGTTTATATGTGGCATGGTTATTGTCCTGTCCAACATTTAGAACTTTGCATTTGTCTATATTAAACTGCATCTGCCACTTCTCCGACCACTGCATCAGTCTATTCAAATCTTCCTGGAGTGCTCGAATGTCCTCGTCAGAATGAATTCGACGGCCTATTTTGGTGTCATCGGCAAACTTGCCGATGTCGCTCTTTATGCCCTCATCTATGTCGTTTATGTAGATTGTGAACAGCAGGGGGCCTAACACTGACCCCTGTGGAACACCGCTCGTGACACTTCCCCACTCTGATTTCTCCCCATTTATGCAAACTCTCTGCTGCCTATTTGTCAACCATGCCTCTATCCAGGAAAAAATTTCTCCTCCTATTCCATGTGCTTTAATTTTCCTCAATAGTCTCTGATGTGGGACCCTGTCAAAAGCCTTACTGAAGTCCATATACACAATATCATATTCATTACCATGATCTACCTCCTCAAATACCTTAGTGAAAAAAGTTAATAAATTCGTAAGGCAGGAACGCCCCTTTGTAAAACCATGCTGAGATTCGTTGATTAATTTTATGCTTTTCAAGGTGGCTACGAACTGCCTCGGCAATTATTGATTCCATAAATTTTCCCATATGGAGGTTAGGCTTATTGGTCTATAGTTCGAAGCTAAGGACCTGTCACCTGTTTTGAAAATAGGTATCACATTTGCCATTTTCCACTTATCTGGCACCATGCCAGTTTGTAGTGATATGTTGAAAAGATTAGCCAAAGGTGTGCTAAGCTCCTCTTTACATTCCTTTAGAACCCTTGCATACAGTTCATCAGGGCCTGGGGATTTGTTAGGTTTTAATTTATCTATTTGCCTAAGGACCATGTCACTTGTGACCTAATCGTGCACAGTTTATTATCGTCCTGTTCTACATAATTTATCATTACTGGAATATTGCTGGTATCCTCCTGTGTAAAAACTGAGAGGAAGTATGTGTTAAAAATTCTACACATTTCCTTATCACTGTCAGTGAGCTGACCCGAGGAACTTTTGAGTGGGCCTATCTTGTCCCTGATCTTACTTCTGTATACCTGAAAGAATCCTTTTGGGTTAGTCTTCGATTCTCTTGCAACTTTAACCTCATAATCTCTTTTTGCTTTTCTAATTCCCTTTTTTATTTCTCTCTTTAACTGAATATATCGATTTCTTAATTGCCCCTCTCTTCTTTTGATTTGCCTATATATGCCTCTTTTTTGACCAATCAGATATTTTAATCTATTGTTCATCCATTTAGGATCATTTTTGTTTGATCTGATTTCCCTATTTGGAACATAATTTGACTGAGCAGCTAGAACTATGCCCTGGAAATCATCATATCGGCAACCATCACCACCTACCTGACCCTTAGTCAGGTCATTCCAGTTCAGCCCACCTAAGTAATTTTTCAGTCCTATGAAATCAGCCAAGCGAAAGTCAGGGACGGAGACTTGATTGCCATTATTAGGGAATTCCATGATATATTAAAAAATGAGTGATTTGTGATCACTTTCCCCAAGCTCATCATTAACCTCAAGATTATTAATTAGTGTTTCCCTACTGGCAAGAACCAAGTCAAGGAGGTTATTTCCTCTAGTTGGCTCTGTCACCAAACTGTTTTAAAAAACAATCCTGGATCGTATCAAGAAAGTCACCTGACTCTAAATTCCCTGTCAAATTGCTCCAGTCAATCTGTCTATAGTTGAAATCTCCCATTAGCACAACATTTTCGTATGTAGATGCCTTACGAATTTCGTCCCATAGAAGTTTACTGCACTCCCTATCAAGATTTGGGGCCCTGTAAATCACACCCAAAATTAGTTTTTCTCGGCCCTCGAGAAGCTGTAACCAAACAGATTCAGTGGCTGACGCTTCTAATTTAATATCTTGTCTAACACAAAAAATTTAAATTGTCTCTGACATACATCGCTACTCCACCACCTTTCCTGTTGACCCTGTCAGTGTGGAATAATTTATAGCCTTGTATGTGACATTCAGAGGGCATCTCTCTATCTTTCAGATTGAGCCAGGTCTCTGTTATAGCAATAATATCTATGTTTCCTGCACTTGCAATTAATCTTAGCTCATCTATCTTATTTCTTACACTCCTGCTATTAGTATAGTAAACCTTAAGGGAGCTAGTCCCTTGCTGCCCTCTGCTGTCCCCCTTTGTTTGCTGACCTGATCTATTGTCTTTATTTATAACTTCATGCTGAATGCCTATTATACATTTACTGTTTCCAACCCTAGTGTTGCAACCTGCTTGTTTCCCACACACACCCATACCTCTATCTTCCATCAGTTTAAAATCATAGGCATTTCACCAATGGCCTTCTCAATCGAGTCTGCAGTGCTACCACCCCTGCCCCAGAGAGATGTACCCCATCCCTTGCATACATATCATGTTTGCCATAAAAGTTGTTCCAGTTGTCAATGAATGGGATTGCAAGTTCCTTGCAGTATCTGTCTAGCCAGCAATTTACACCAATTCGAAGCAAATCTGTGGAGGTGATCTCGTTTTGCTATCAGGATACAATACTATGGCAAAAATAAAAGGAAAATAAATAAAAAAAGCTATACATAAAAAATACATACAGCATGTATGATAATGATCATTATCATCATTGTCACCTTGATTGTCATGAAAATAAAAATAATACCGATGTATTGAATCAATCATACATAAGCAGTAGAACAAAGTATTCACATTCCCTTTAATTGGAAATTACAAACAAAACTTGCGAAGGATAATTAATTAGCCTGAATAACCAATTTGAGATTCAAAAACCAGCATTATCACACTATGGAATACAACACCTACAAACTGACGAGACATATGCAATGTCCTGGTATGTAAAGTAAAAGGACACAAGTGCAACTAATGTGACATTTTTATTGTGGCAACGTTTTGCTCTCCAGGAGCTTTGTCAAGCCGTTACGGCTTGACAAAGTTCCTGGAGAGCGAAACTTTGCCACAATAAAAATGTCACACTAGCTGCACTTGTGTCCTTTTACTTTACATATTGTCGGTAATTCTACCAACTTTATTACAATGTCCTGGTATCTTTATTACAAAGTTGTTTTGCCATCTAGTGGCTTCATCAATTCAAGACAGAGATGGCTGCAGATGAGGTAATTAATCCCACAGCTTTGGTAAGTGTATCATCTCTATTTCTGTAATGTCTTCCATTCTATCAAACGAGACCAAGAAACCATGAATACAACAGTAAAAACCATATGGAGTTACACTGCAAAGGCGCTGTTTGAATCCAAAATCATGGTCGCAGTTTTTTTTCTCACTATGCACTGCTTGCTGCAGGATTTGTTTTATATGGTGCACACTTACCATAGATCTATTCTCTCTTACCTAGGCCCAAATTTACCACTCGTAGTTTACCTGAGCGAGCTGAGCTTATGGTGTAGAACTACTTTTTCCCTCACTTTTGTCCTGCACACTTGAAAGAACCCTTTTGGATTAGTCTTTGATTCATCAGCAACTTTAATTTCATAGTCACGTTTAGCTTTTCTAATTCCTTTTTTTACTTTTTAAATAAGGTTAATCTCTCCTCTTTTGATCTGCCTATAAATTCTCCTTTTCTCTCCTAGTAAATGCTTTAGCCTCCTGTTAACCCATTTGGGATCATTATTATTTGACCTAATATCTC